TTTTTTTTTTTTTTTTTTTTTTTTATAGAGCGTGAAAATTTTCTTAGGTAATGTAGTGATTATACCTTAGCAAACTGATGTATCTGTATGAACATTTTGTTTTGCTTTGTACTGTACCAGCATTCCAATAAGCTGTTTGATGAATGTATATCATTGAGGTTTTGGTCTTTCTGTTTTTTAAAGTAAGCTAGTATGTCACTGCTTTATCAATACAGGGTCAAACAAATGTATTTAGTACTTACTGTTGAAAGGTGGTGGTGTTTTTGAAGCTGTTTAGATCATCTCTGGATCTAAAAAATTTCCAATTTTTTAATTGGAAATTGTAGGAAGGAGGGTATTCGGAGAAAGCAATCAGCTGCACAAGTAAACTTGACCTGAGGAAAACATACCACTGTGAAAGAAGTTGTCAGATACTGACACTTCAGAGATTTTTCTTTGAATGTTGGTATATGCCACTCAGTGTACAGAATACTTAATTGACAGGCCTTTTTCCTAAATAGTTGCATACGTAAATCACATATATGATATGGTCTAGTATTTGGCCTTCAAAAGAAGGCTTTTCAAAACAGATCACATATCAAAGGTCACTGCACACTCATCTGGCGTAATATGTAGACGTGGTACCTGAGATAAAGAGAACTCTTGTAGTTGAAAAGTACATGCATATATTTATGGAATATTACCTTTTTAGTAATATGTAGTAGTAAAACAGGAGTTTTTAAACAGAAGATCTGGATTGGAACTTTGCAGACTTACGCTGTTAAGGTTTTGAAGAGTATTTTCATATGTATTGTTGACATAATTAGGAGCCAGGTTCTGTGGCACATCTACAGCATTCATCCCTTTTTTTCAGCATAAAATTACTTTAAGTAGTTAGTGCTGGATATAGATAATCAGCATTTAAGGGTTTTACCAGGTGAGTAAACTTAAAGTTCTCTTAAGTTCTATGAGAACTTCGGGTTGTTTTCAAAGTTACATTTCTTTTGAGACTTGACACAATATGTATAGATCTCTGCTCCTGGTGGGTTAAACTTTAGGGAATGGACTGACTAGATGGAAAAGTGTAAAAATCTGTTTTGTTCACCTCTAAAACTCTGGAAATAATGAGATTTATCTGGGTAGAAAACCCCTAACTTTTTGTTCCTATCTTTCCTAATCAGCTGGTGCTTGATTGGACCATTCCAATCTTTGTTGTATCTCTGGTTTTAGCCTCTTTATATGTGTGGTACATACAAAGGTAAACTCCAGGTATGGATATTCAAAGCAAGGAATTGTCTTGATCTGATGTTTTTAATACAATTCTTGGATTAAGAACATGGAACTGATTTAGTTTTGGCAAATCTGAGAGGGTTTTTTTTAAAGGTGTGCTCTATATATTTAATTTCAGATTTGGGATCCAGTACAGATATCCTTTGTCATATGATGCCTTTCTATAGCTATGATGTTCCTCATACTTGTGGTCCAGATCCGAAAATCTGCTGCCAGTTTGATTTCAAACGTCTTCCTGGAGGAAGAGTAAGCTGTCCATGGAGAGTTCCACCAGAAGCCATTCATGCTGGAAATGTTCAACACAGGTACAGTTTTTACATATTCTGCAAGAGAATAACTTTAAAAAAAAAAAATTATGCTGGTCAAAGATGATATCTAGCCTACAGTTCTTACATATTCTGCAAGAGAATAACTTTAAAAAAAAAAAATTATGCTGGTCAAAGATGATATCTAGCATAGCTTGGTGAATTTATATAGTTCTTAAATTAAACTTGTCATAGGAAAATAATATCTGTTACTTAATCTAGTGTTTGCTCATAAGTTCAGAACATAATTGACAGTGAAATTTGAAGATAGGTTATAATTAAGGAAGATGCATTACATATTTTTCTATTCATGATACATGGGTCTAACTATTACTATCTCTGAATGCTAGGCAGAACATAGTCATCTGTTTAGTTATAGTCACGTTACTGGTTTACTGTAGGTTTTGTGAATTTTATGAATAGACAGTGATCTGTCTCATGCCACTGGAAGACTTCAGGGACAGCATGGTGTAGTATGCTGTAACTACAAATGATGAGATGTTTTCCATGGTATATCCTTGCAAAACTTCTCAGTCTGTGGCCTAGGTTTCCTGAAGTGGATACTTTAAATGAATCTGAGTCCTATGTCTTACATGTCTGGTTGGGGGGGCAGGGGAATCATATTAACTTCAATTTTATTTTTCAAATAGAAACACTGAGTTGTTTTGCCACGGGTAAGAATCAAGTTTTACAGTTTTACAAAACTACTTTTCAATTCTGGGAGGAGGAAAAAAAAAAAAAAGAAAAAAAAAAAAAGAAAGGGAAGATAGAACTGCTAAAGGTTTTTCCAGAAAAAGATTGTTTTCTACAGTCCTGTTACTATCTTCAGGCCTTCAAACCATCCCCAAGTTCAAGAGTTAGAAATTTAGGTAGGTGTTTACAATTGTTGCAAATTGCTGAGTATAACAAATGTATTAAGGATAGCAGGGTGACTTTTTGGTTCTAGTCTTGATGCTGAAGTTTTGAAGTGATGATGTGATGATTATGTGTTGGTTGTCTACATGTCAAGTCTGCATGTCCTTTTTCTGAGTGTGAATTTTGCCAAGCATCTTGAAAACTTCACTTTGTCAGTAAAATTCTATTACAAAATTTTATCGAAGATAAAACCAAAATAAAACAGAATACATTACAATTGTCATACTTTAAGGTAGAAATTGGAATGATGATAGGAAATAGTCATTTTCTCTGAAAGTAGAAAAATGAAAGCTGAAGGTGACAGGAGAACAGTAGAGCTAATAGAAGAATCATTATGACACACCCAGTGCTTATCAAATGTGAAGGAAACCTCATGTGTCTTTAAATCAAAGTTGTAAAAAGAAAAATCTTGAATACGTATCCCAATTAGGTGAGACCAATATTTGTAGAAGAGTAACAGCTTGTTTAACAAATACCTGGAACATACAGGCTATAAGTATAATGTAGAGAGCCTGCTTGGAATGCTTTTTAAGGTTTTTGTTTTTCAATTAGATCTTAATTTATCCCTGCACTTCCTAGATGCAAGCTTTGTATAACAATCTGAATTAGACCTTGTAAAAGAAACCGTTCTTTCATCATGTCTTATGAAGTCAGAGAAAATGGGGCAGGTATGTAGTGAACGTATAGACGTAGACAATGTATGATCAAATTGAAGAGATCATCATCTCAATATGGTCTCTGAAACTTAATCTTTTGCATCAGCTTTTGGTAGGTATAAACAGTTTCAGTGTCTAACAGGGAGTTGAAACAGCAGTATGGTAGATAATACCTAAGGGAAAAGTAAAACTAACACATGGCCTTTGAGTTGAGAGCCTGGATTATTTACATTTGGAACACTGGAAGGAACACAGGAACCGTAGTTTGAGAGTCTAGTTTGAAATAAATTCACTAAAACATAGGAAATAGTGTTTTGCTGGAGAATGCTAAAAACACTACTTATATTTTACGAAAAAGAAAGAGAATATTGTAGGCAACCAAAAACTTGTGTGAGCTGACCTCTGTAACAACACAAGTTTTACTGTTGTTATGATGAGGAGATGTATGAGATCCAAAAGTAATTGGAAAATCTATCTTTACATCATAAACTTTCCAAGGTTAAAGATCTGTAGCACACTAATCTGCCTCTCATCTCTGATTGCTTTGTTTTTTAAGACTGGAAAAATACAGATCTACACTACATAGATCTGAGAAAAAGTATTTGATACACACTATTAATTTAGAGGCAAGGTTTAGATCACTGACCTTTCTTCAATGCTAAAGCTGCAACAAAATTGATAAAACACAGATCCTGAATACTCAGCTGAGGCTGTTGCTTTTGATACTATTATGGACATACATATATACTGAAGAGATACTGAATTGAAAACTTAAGACTAGTAGCTGTTGGATTTATCATTGCCTTGCCACTTCAGTTGTGATTTGGTAGGAAGGAATGAAATAGAAGCCTGATTGAAAGCCTGTACTTGTTTAATTACACTTCATAACAGCTTAGGTTATAAAGGTTGCTGTTGCACTCGCCCTGTTTTGCAGCTGCATCCTTATCCATATGTTTGAATGCTGAAGTTCTAGCTTTTCACACTAGCAAAAAAAAACAGCTGTTTTTTTTTTTTTTTCCTTGAATGGGAATGAGTTGTTTTGTTAGAGGAAGCATAGCTCATTTTGGTGCATGTCTTTCTCTCCCATGCATGGAAATAGGAAAGAACCTATACTGCAAGTTAGGCGTTTCAGAGAAGGAGTAGAAAATGGACTTTCCCCTTCACCCCCTACTGTTCAAGAGCCCAGTTTTACCCTTCAGCTTTTTTCTCTTTACGGTTGGTCACATTGCACAACATGCAACTGGCACTCAGAATTACATTGCTGATGTGGTGTTGGTGGTTAATGTTTGTGAATGCCAACCTCAGGAATCTGAGATCACCCTCTTAGGAAGTACTCATCCTGTCTGCATAGCCATCTTCTCCACCAAATTACCTGATAAGAAAATTTCCAATCCACCAAATGGTTTTGTTTTCTAGTTGAGATAACTGAGCAAAGAGTGAGTCCCTAATGCTTCATGTGCTGTATGGGCTGAAGTAGTAGGGACTGTGAAGCCATGACCACTGTCAAACCTGTCACACAGGACTTGCCATAACTGCTGCAAAATTTATTGTGATTCCTACAGACTCTGGGTTGCTACTGCTCCTCCTCCTTTGACATAGGAAGGGGCAAAACCAGCCACGTTAATTCTTTTGACGGGTTTTAGCCAAATACTTGGAATTTTTGTGTTAAAAGAACACACTTGTGATATGAAGGGGTTGTCTTCATTTGTGAAGGGTCTTAAGCATCCAGTGATAATCTGAAAGCTTCCCAAAGAAAGGTGAAAAATATTCTTGATGCTGTTACTGAAAATGTTTATATAATTCAGTGTTGCCAACTAACTGTGCAGTGTTAGGGTTGCTCAGAATATTGAGAACTACATAATGCATCTTGTGTACAATTCCAAGGACTTTTGATTGTATAAAACCAAAAATTTGGGTTGTTTTTTTTTTTTAAAAGCCATTAAAATGGAGTTGCTGATGATATGCTATATCCATAATTATGGTGCTACAAGAAGTTTCTCATGACTGATCTCTCTAGTTTTTAAATTTTTATTTAGGTAGGCAGGATAAACATATATCAAAATGTATCTAATACTGTCTTGCTGGGGAACCAGAAGGGGAAAGCATTGGTGAGAGTCAGTGGAATTTGTTTGGTTTTTTTTCTTTTTTCCTCCAGAAGTATTTTTCATCTTCAGCAAATTCTGTCTGGGGCTTTCTGCTGACTCTTTCTCACTCCTATATGAAATAGTGATTTAGGAGGTTATCTGAGAGAAACTTAAGAGGATATACCTGACTTGAGACATCTAATTTTTCTTTGGTGTTTTTGCAATTGAAACTGGTTTGCAATGGCAGAAGATCCTGCTGCCCCCTTAAAAACACCTCATAATCCTACAGTTATGAGTATTTTGAAGAAAGGGAGAACAGCAACACTGATGAATTTTGCAGTAGATTTGGAAAGAAACTAGAGGAGGACTTTGAAGAGAGATGTCAAAGGCAAATATCCTGTTAACTGTAACCTTTCCTGAAGTCCTGTATTTTTGAAGAGGCTCTAAAATAAAGTATGTTTCCAACCATAGGCTTCATGTGGAAAATTTGAGTTAGGCTGGCTTATTAGAAGGGAGAATTATAAAGTCTTGTGTTGTGCCAATTGTTCTGTTAGTTGTGTGGAGAGGAAGTCTTCATGTTTAAATTGGCAACCTGTTGAAAGTCAAGGAAAAATATTGATTCAAGCCTAAATACTGGGTAATGTGAACTATAAATCAAACTATAGGCAGAGAGAGGGGGGAAGCCACTAGTTAGGCCTGTTCCAATCTCAGCAGAACTATGTAGATTAACTAAACATGTTGTTGTGCCCCCTTTCTCCCTCCAGAATACAGTCAGACCTTCTGTTTACTCAATGCTTTTATAATCTGATAAACAAATAAACTCTGACTTGCTGATCAAAGAAATATGGTTTTCAAATATATTGGACTAGATTCAATTCTCACATAAATGTTTAGATAACAAATCTTCAAGAGTATGAGTTGAAAGTAGATTTTGGTAGACCATCTATTAAAAAGACTTGTAGAAAAAAAAAGCTCACTGAATCTGGATTTTGCTGCTATTTTCTCTTTAAAACTTTGTCATTTGTATTCCTGTTTTCTTAAATATGTTACTATGGTTTATACTCCCAACTAAAATTATTTCTATAACTTTAATTAGAGAGGAGTGGACCTTTTCAGTAATCCAGACATCAGACTTGTATCTTTTAATACATTACTGCTTAATGGCAGAACTGATATTTTACCTGTCAAAGAGTTAGCAGGTGCCAAAGGATAATTTTACTGCCTCTTTTCTGTGCATGCACGTGTAGGTTTTCTGTTTGTTTGGGTTTTTTTGGTTTTGGGTTTTTTTTAAAGGCCAAAAGCAGAAAAGCAGTGGGTTTAATTTTTCAGGACATGTACTTAAGCTTAAGAGGGCTGGCTCTAAGACAGGTAAGAAGCTGGCTGAAGGGGGAACAGTGATTGTTAGTAGTGAACTTCCTCCAGAAGTTTTTTTGGGTTTTTGTTGTTTTTTTTTTTTTTCAAAGCTGGAGTTTCTCAAAGGTTAATTTACGGGCAGTTTTTCTGTCAAGGACATGAAGGTGTGAAGCAAAGTATCCAAGGGAATTACCAGAGGGGATGAGAAGAGCTTGCTTATTATTGTAAATAAGGGCTGGAGAGGATCAGGATTGTTATCTAAATATAAAGAAGGTAAACATAATTTAAACTGAAGGTTAGTGTTGGCACAGGAACAAATTGATGCAGACTGACCTGCTGTTTGAGATGGAGCTTGATAAGCTTATTGGAGGATTTAATTAGCATAGTCTTTGCAACAATAGTAGGTTGAATGTGGTGTCCCTGTGAGGGGAATTGCATCCAGCTTCTTGTTACAAAATGAAATAGCAGAGTTTTGAATGTCTTATTTAGGGTCACCCTAACGCACAACTTGATATCTATGAATTGTTTCGTCAAATGCTGACCTTTATTCTTCTGTTTGCTAAATTGCCTTTTTTTTTCCTCCCCCTCCCCCCTCAAGGGCTTGGATGATTTTAGATCAATACAGAAAGAAGTCAAAGCTTTTCCGTACTAAAGTTCTGTTGGCTCCACTAGGGGATGATTTCCGCTATGCTGAGAGCTCAGAATGGGATCAGCAGTACCAGAATTATCAGAAGCTGTTTGATTATATGAATTCTCATCCTGAGTGGCATGTTAAGGTAAATACAGCACTTTTTTTCTGGATTGTAGATTAGACAATATTTCTCAGGATTTTGAGATTCTTCATGGAAAAAAGTTGTGGTTTGTTTTTTTTTTAAACTGTGGAGCTTTATATATTATTTGACAGCAGATTGATTTGTCTTGGCAGATTAGATTTTTTTACCTCTACCATTTCTTCTCCCTCCAAAACAAAAACTTTGCTATTAATAATATCTGCTTGAAAACTAGAAATAGTATCCAATTTTTTAGAGAACAGCTATTAGGTTTGATTGTTTTCTTAGTACTCGTGTTTTCACAGGCTTCAGGCATTGTTATTTAAGGCTCGCAGGCTTTGTTATTTAAAACTATTGTATTTTCTTATTAAAGTTCAAGCAAATTTTGTTGCTTAGCTTGGGTTGTCTTGGTTTTATGTCCCAAAACAAACAACAAATTCTAAGAGGCACCATTGCTGGCACACATTGTTGAATACAGTAAATTTAAGAGGTTGACCTGGCTACAAAAGGAGTGAAAATACTAACACAATTATCAGATGAGAGATCACTTTAAATCATTAATTATGTTTGAGTGTTAATATACACATTCATACATTCTAATGTGTAAGCTGAGTACTTCAGAGACTTCTTGTACTATAAATGTGCTCTGTACTCAGACATGTTTTCATCATCTTTTATCTGCTTGAAAAATAAAAATAGTATCCAATTTTTTAGAGAACAGCTATTAGGTTTGATTGTTTTCTTAGTACTCGTGTTTTCACAGGCTTCAGGCATTGTTATTTAAGGCTCGCAGGCTTTGTTATTTAAAACTATTGTATTTTCTTATTAAAGTTCAAGCAAATTTTGTTGCTTAGCTTGGGTTGTCTTGGTTTTATGTCCCAAAACAAACAACAAATTCTAAGAAGCACCATTGCTGGCACACATTGTTGAATACAGTAAATTTAAGAGGTTGACCTGGCTACAAAAGGAGTGAAAATACTAACACAATTATCAGATGAGAGATCACTTTAAATCATTAATTATGTTTGAGTGTTAATATACACATTCATACATTCTAATGTGTAAGCTGAGTACTTCAGAGACTTCTTGTACTATAAATGTGCTCTGTACTCAGACATGTTTTCATCATCTTTCAGCATGATGAAATATTTCAGGAATAGGGACCACAACCTTGTTTTTTCTTGAGTATCACGTGAGAGAGCACTATTGCTGCTTTCACATTTAGGCTTTTTAAACCCGGTCTGGTCTCTCTTATATTGTTTGTATGTACATCTTTTTTTTCCCTCACCTTTTCTGAGACCTCCCCCCATTCCTTTAACTGCTGATTAGAGTAGTGCCTGTAGTGTGTTAGTTCTTTCTGCTGACTTATGGACTTGTGTTCTGCATAAGAAAGATGATCTCTTGGGATCGCAGCTTGTCTGAGAGCTCGATTTTGCATCTGTTTCCTATGGGATGTGGGTGACATGATATATGTGAGTGCCTGCAATGTCTTACTGGAGGGAGATAGACCTGGACCTCTTTTAAATCTTTTAAGTCTAAAGCCCATCTTTTAAATCTAAAGCTTTCTGCTATCACCAGCTTTACTCCCCTCAAAATGAATATAGTGTGCAGGTAGTTACTCTTTGGATGCTAACAGCAGTATACTTTCTGTAGTCTCCATTCCAACTAACCTGGGCTGGATGATTTTCTTCTCTGGGGCAAAACCTGAAGGCTCAAGCTCTGAGATCATTCTTCAAGGACCACTTGTGTCCTGAGGCATCGGAAAGATCTTTATCTGAAAGGTTCTGCTCAGCCTATTGCCAAGGACTCTATGAGTCTATTTCATTAGCCCTGGCTTGCCCACCTGGATTATTACCTTGGGAATCACACCAGCCCTTGGGGCCCTCATAGAAGTATCCAACCCTTTTTCTGGTCCTTAATACCCAGACAAAAAGATACGCAATCCTCAGATTCAGCCACTTCATACCTAGGGTACTTTGCTCAGCTGGAGCACTGTTGGCACTGGAGCGTGTCTCCTTTTCATTTTATTTATTTAGTTGGATTTTTTTCTTTCTCTCACTGGTGGTTTTGTTTTTTTTTTTTTTTTTTTTTTTTTTTTTAAACTGATGTCATTTATCCTTGGAAATACGAGATTTGGTGGAGAACTTTCACACTCCGCTGCACTTTCCCCAGCGGACTGTAACTCCACTCCTTTATGTAAAGGAAGAGTTCACATTTCTTTCTTAAGTGCTGAGATGCCTAGGATATTACTACTTACACAAGGGACCGCCCACTCTGCCTTTCTGACTGTATGAGAGATTTACACTTTCAGACACATTTGAGATACTTGTCTAGTGGATATGTCTGTTAGCATTCAGATTCTCGTGCCAGCAACTATTCTATGGTCCTAAAAGTGTGTGGTAGATTACTGTAAAAAGATATCTATTTTGCTCTTGCGGAGTTTGATCTCCTTTACATCTATTATGCATAAATTAAGATGAGACTTTTTATATGCCAATAGAAGAGTCTACCAGGTTATTTCACTGTTTCCACTCCACTTAGACTGAGTTTTCTTCAATTTTGCTGGTTCCTCTGGTGAGGTTTTCTTCCTCTGATGTAACCCAGCATACAGAAGGGAGGTCACCTATACCTGATTTCTCTTGGTCCATTGATATCTTTTCTTTTTTCTTCTGAATTATGTCTCGTAGGTGTCTGTGATAGTCAGGGAAAAGGCCAAGTGTCCTAGAAGTGCCTGATAAGAGAAGGATCACTGCTGTTGGGATTTCTGTGGCAATATGTCTCTTTCTCTGCTTTACTGCCATTCAAAGTGGCAAGTTATCATACTGTATCCACCTAACAGACACTTGGATCTTCTGAATGATTTTGAAGAGTGAATACTGTTTTTTGGTTTGTTTTCTTTTTTTAAATGTTGAAATAGCACATCTTTGTTGTCACAGTAATAGTCCTTATATTCCAAGTCACTTTTTAAAAAGATTTTTGCTAAAAGCTTGTTTTCTTGTGTTGTAAACTGTAGCATGCTACTTTGTATGCTTGTTGTTAACAATAATTAAAAAAAACCCCAAACAACAAAAAAGTGACTAAATTTAAATTTGAAGAATTATCATTATAGTTTATTATGAGGGTACTTATGGTAAGGTGGTCTTCAGTGCTGTTCCCACTTCCATTAATTGTTTTTCCACCCTCATTCAAAACCCAGTTTGCCTTCTATGCCTTCTTTAACAACATCTCTCAATGCTGGCAACATTGACATCAGTCTCTCTTCCTTTTTTATTTCCCCCCTTTTTTTTTACTCCTCAAGCTTGAGGGTACCGTCTCTTGACCTGCCCTGTAAAGGGCTGTTATTGCCTTATTTATCTGAGTATTTTTAAAAATGACCAGAAGATAATGAGTTTTTTGTACTCCCCCATGTTACAGCTCTAAACACAATTTCTGTTACAGCTCTAATCACAATTTCTTTGTATATAGTTTTAAAAAAACAGCTTCTGAAAACAAATGCTAATTTTTTGATCAACAGTCATCTTGGGTTAAGCATATGTTGGAGAACTGGAGCGCAACAGAGTTAATTTTGAAAATGCAGGATTAAGACAACTATGCTCTTGTTACATTACATAAAGTTTCTTATTTAGTCCAGACATCTACTTACATAATATTGAGGTATTACTTAGTTCATGTATTAGAGACTTATTCGTAAGACACGAAAGAATGCTTTGCTTATTTGTTGAGATTTAGCTTGTATTTTAGATACCGATTTATACTTTAAAAAAGAAAAGTATTTCGTATTTCATAAATCATAGAATCATAGAATGGTTTCAGTTGGAAGGGACCTCTAAAGGTCATCTAGTCCGACCCCCCTGCCGTGGGCAGGGACATCTTCAACTAGATCAGGTTGCTCAGAGCCCCGTCCAACCTGACCTGGAATGTTTCCCGGGATGGGGCATCCACCACCTCTCTGGGCAACCTGTGCCAGTGTTTCACCACCCCCAGTGTAAAAAATGTCTTCCTTATCTCTATTCTGACTCTACCCTCTTTTAGTTTAAAACCATTGCCCCTTGTCCTATCGCTACAGGCCCTACTAAAAAGTTTGTCCCCATCTTTCTTATAAGCCCCCTTTAAGTATCAAAAGGCCGCAATATGGTCTCGCTGGAGCCTACTCTTCTCCAGGCTTAAACAACCCCAACTCTCTCAGCCTTTCTTCATAGGAGAGGTGTTCCATTCCCCTGATCATTTTTGTGGCCCTCCTCTGGACCTGCTCCAACAGGTACATGTCTGTCTTGTACTGAGTTGAATTGAAGTTGAAATGCTTTTGGAAGAGCTATTCAGTTTGTCTGAAAAGTGTGCAGGGAAACTTTAAAGCTCTTTAGGATAGGATTTCTGCTATAATTCTGCTGGAAGACTGCCATAGTTCTGAAACGTATATGAAACCAAGCATATTCATTCTCTTCATATGTCTAAATAAAGAAAATGATGCTATGTTATAGTAATTTTAATTTTCGTTCAGGCCCAGTTTGGAACTTTATCAGATTACTTTGAAGCTCTGCGCAAAGAAAGCAGTTTGGGTGAAGAAGGCAGCAATTCATTTTTCCCTGTTTTAAGTGGAGACTTCTTCACCTATGCAGACAGAGATCATCATTACTGGAGTGGATACTTTACATCACGACCCTTCTATAAACGACTGGATAGACTCCTGGAATCCTACTTACGGTAAATACTGCCATCCAGTAAATTCATAACATATGCCTTGGCACATGGGAGAGATGAATGTCTAAGTACTCTAAGTCTGTTGGACAGATGGAAAAGTGATTTTGAAATGCACAGTTTAAGTTTACTTACAATAAGGATAGCCTAAATGGCCCCCAAATGTAGTTTGTGTTACAAAATTAGTCAGTGTATCTGTTTTTTTACTAAATTCACAGAAATACAATGATAGTTTTTCCGCCCAAACAAATAAGTTGTTCTAAAATACTATTCAAGTGATCAGCAAGTCCCGATTCCATGAAAAATAGCAGGTAGTATGCTTTTTATTCTGTATCAAGTTTGGGTAGCTGTCAGATCAATCTATCATTATGGCTATACTGTGAACTCCTTTAGAGAGAAATACAAAGGTGCGAATTTTACAAGGGTTATTAGAGGCAGTTGCAAAGTAGTCAGGAATATTGTGTACCAAGTGGTCTCAGATTTGTAAGGTACTGCTCTGCTGAAAAGTGTTTGCATGTTCTTTAAAGAAAAAAATATTGCTGAATTTTGGTAACGGAGTTACCAAATTTAAGTGGTTCTCCCTTGTAGCAGCTGTAGATAAGACGCATTCGAAAACAATTTAACTGTATTTTAAGGCTCCAGAAAGAAATCTGGGACAGATGCATATGATGTAAACCTTGGACTATCTATTTCCAAAACTTGGAAACTCTGTTTTGAAAAGATTATTCTTTCAAGGATCCTTAGTCAAAGGCCACTTTTTGTCTTCTGGAAGGACCCTTTAAAATGCACCTATTGTAGTGCTTCTATATGCTGTTTAGACCTTTTTGTGCTAGGGAAGAACTTCTGTGATGCTGAGAAAGGCTTGCTTAAGGACTTCTTACAATTTTTTTTTTTGGTGTTGTAATGGCTGCTGCAGTAGTGGAGGGAGCAAAAGAGGTGTGGAAAGTAGTGCTTTGCACGCATGGAAAGTAGCGTTTTGGAGGCAGATACAAGTACCTTTCAGAAGAGAAACCTCAGTATCTAGCAGAATTTGTTTTGCTTCTTCCAAGAAGTCAAGTTTTTACTCTGGTAAAGTGGAGGCTTCGCAAACTTGGGACACAGCTACTCTGTGATCTGTAGTATGTCTTGTAATGAAAGTGGCTTTTTCTAGTCTTTTCTCTGCATTCTAAGAATACAGAGTAAGACACCTGAGGAAATAAGAAAATTAGTGAAGAAGAAATGAAAGCAATAGAAAGACTAAGATAGGTGTAAGGAGAAGTGAGATCAAGGGCCTGAGAATAGAAAAGTGTTAGGGAAGAGACAGTGTAACGTAACTTTGAAGGCATTGCATTGACCAGCAAAGAGAAAAGTTTCACAAATGGGAAAGCAGGGAGTAAAGAAGCCAAAGACTGTCAGGAAGGAGGAGAAAAATAAGATCAAAGCTGAGAGGAATGACAAAAAGCAAGGCGAGGATCCCTTTGGCAGAAGAAGGTAAAAATAATATGGTAAGTAGAAGTTATCAGAGGAGTGACTTCTGCAGTGTTTTAATCAGAACTTTGTAATGTTACAAGTGTTACGCTTAACTTATGTACAAAACCAAGAATGTTAGAAGATTACAAAGAGGGCATTTGTAAGGCTAACAGTAATTAGGAAGTTTGACAACTATTCAGAAATAGTTTACAAATAGAGTATCAAGCATCACTAGGAATATGATTTTCTTAGAAGCATTTTAGTTTTTACTTACTGTATTGACACTATAAATATTAATTAGCTCTGTTCTCATTAGCTTGTTTATTGTAAGAATCTTTGATTTTCAGTGAAAACAGCCTTGTTTAATACTGCTATTGGAAAAGACAAGATACATAGAAAACAGGACAGATGATGTCCTTATAAATTGAATTCCCTACTTAATTGTTTTTCATACTTTTGCCTAAATTCCTTTCTGTTTGTTAAAATGCACCAAGGATTTAAATTTTTTAGCTTTATCATAGCCTATTTTCTCAAAAAATTTAAATGTTTACTTTATTGTCATTTTTCTGTTTTTTGTTACTTACATTGCAGAAAACTTCATATGAATTGCTTTCAACTTTATTTGTAGTGTTTACAACTTTAAACTGTTAAAAGATTCCTTCATGTAAGCATCATTTCAATTACCTGTAACTTCTGAAAAAGGTGCTAGACTTACAGGTAAAGAATCTCTGGAAGAAAACTAAACCTTCAGTCTTATAAAAAAAAACAAAGCACGTTTCTAAAAATGTACCTGGGAAGTTTTTCATCCTTCATTATCCTCTGTGAATAACATGTAAGAACAAAACGTACAAATGTGTTCTTGTCAGTTTAATACCAGTTTTTTTTTGTCAGTTTTGCTTTCAGAGACCTGGAGAATCTTCAAGGATGGCATATTAGCTGTGAGAACAGCAGAATTAAGGGTTTTGTCTTTTATTGATGAAATACATTATCATATTTAATTAATAACACCCTTGCCCCAGCCTTGTGATTAAATTTTCCATGGTTCTTTTTGAGCTAACATATCTATCTATCTAGTGTGCATGTATATGTGTATGTATATATATGTGGCGGAGTGAACCATGAACAGGAGATAAATATCTATGTGTGTGTATTTTTTACCAAGGATGAATGCTTTTAAGTTCCAGCAGTACCAGGATTAAGAAGTACTTCACTGTTACTTAATAGCCAGGAAACAGTGTTCAGTCTCAGGACTTGCTATGATGACTGGCTATTTAAGTAAGAAAAGAGTTGGTTGGTTGCATTTTTCCCATTTTTAAAAAAGTTTTGGGTTTGTGCATTAAAGAAAGTGCATGAAAGTTTTGGTAATGGAGATTGACATAATTGCTGATTTGGGACTTAATTGATTTTTTGATCTTAAGTGGGAGATGGATAAGAGACGGGTGAATTAAAGTAGTTTTCTGCTCACTGATTTCATCACCCTTCGGATAAGAGACGGGTGAATTAAAGTAGTTTGAAGGGTGATGAAATCAGTGAGCAGAAGTTTGTTTAATGTAGTAGTGGAAAGATGCAAAGAACAACAGCATAGTTGGGGGCAAGTTAGGAATGCATTCTGTGGTTTCATTCTTTACAGATGTAATCAGGGAAAAATTGTGGTAAGTCTGCAAAAAAGATTGTTGGAGTAATTCAGAAGCAGGACAAGAGCCGCAGTGATGCTTCTAACTGTACAGACGTATAGAAAAGACCACATCTTGACAGTTCAGAAACTCTTGGAAAAATTATTTATTATTTATTTAGGTTACAGATAAAGTGGGCCTAAACGTCACCTAGTGTAAGCTTTGAGCAATCAGTGAAGTGAATTTTGGTCTATTTGCAGCGTCCCATCAGGTAGAGATACCGTGACAAATTACAACAAAGTGGATAATCTGTGGTAACTACTTTAGGTAATCTGCAGTAGTTTGAAACAGAGGTGAGAAAACCAAGGCTTTAATATTTTTCCATAAAAGCTGTATAGAGAGAGAGGTAGATGCTTACTTATAAGTTGAAGTGTTCTCTAATATCATGTTCCTTGTGGCTTCACTTCCAAGTGTCTTTCATCTTTGACCATTGAACCATTCTAATGTTTAGAATAATGTTGAGACTTGAAAGGAAAATTCTGCATCTAAGAGACTGATGTACTGAATGGATCTGTAAACCAGAACCAGTTATTGTTCTGAAAGGCAAAAGAGTTCCAAGTGTTCCTTATAGACAACATGGATTTAAAGTGATGTTCTGTAATCAGTATGAACTGAAAATGCATTTACTATACAGCTTTATTTTAATGTTATTTCTTTTGGTTTTAAGGTTGCTACCTTGTTTATAAATAATGGGAGACTTCCCTGTTTAAAAAAAAAAAAATTGAGATGGATTGTGGGGAGGGAAATCTAACCTGTATTTTGAGGACTAAAATTTTTTGTGTTTTCTTCTTCATAGCTACAGTTGGGTCAGTGTTTAGTGGCTAAGTAAATTTTTTTAAAAAAAGGTAAACCACTTTCAGACAGGGTTTATCCACTAGGTGAATGTGCACCTGGTGCCTTTTTAACTACAATAGACTTGTTTTCCTTTCAAGTTAAGCTTTAATAGAACAAAGTAGGAAGAATGCATAGATGTAGGAATTTGCACTAAGCAACATTAAAATCACAGCCATTAAGCTTAAGTGCACTAGTAATAAAGAAAAAGAGTTACAACTTTTAACATCTTGATTTTTTGTGTCACTTCTGAGCAGTTATCTTACCTGTAAGAGCAAAATCTCATCCTTTTCCTCAAATATTGACAATATGAAAATGAATTGAGCCATTATATGTACAGTGTACCTTTCAGTTTAGTTTGACACATGCTACTTGCAGTTTTTACATAATTGTCACCTATGTGATGCATAAAGACAAAGAGACCAAACTGAATCCAAAGGTATTTTTTCATGTTAACAGTAAATATCAGTGGACAGTCTGAAAACCCAAGCTGAGAATGATTTTAAACTTTGTTGTTGTACCGAGATTAAATTTGAAAACGTGCACTCACTGACAGCTTGGGTAAACGTAAAAGTCAGTGTTTTCCTTTTTTCTTTTTTTATTTGCATGCTTAGAAGTTAGTTTTACATTTGTTTCAAGAACGTATGTTAGTTTGCTTTCTTTGCTTTTTATAACATAAACCTGTATCTTCTTGGTTTCTTCAAACACTTGAGAAACCTTCATTAAGCTCAAATAAAGCTGAAAAGGAATCTGACACTTTTCAGACTTACAAAAACAGAACTGTAACATTTTAGGAAAAGGAGATGGGAAAAAAAGTTAAAAGATGTTTTCCCAGAATTTCTACAGGCATCTTTGTTAGTCAAATATTCATAATGACTGGAAATTACAGGGTTTTTTTGCAAAATAAATTTAGAATCTTCTTCATAGCTACAGTTGGGTCAGTGTTTAGTGGCTAAGTAAATTTTTTTAAAAAAAGGTAAACCACTTTCAGACAGGGTTTATCCACTAGGTGAATGTGCACCTGGTGCCTTTTTAACTACAATAGACTTGTTTTCCTTTCAAGTTAAGCTTTAATAGAACAAAGTAGGAAGAATGCATAGATGTAGGAATTTGCACTAAGCAACATTAAAATCACAGCCATTAAGCTTAAGTGCACTAGTAATAAAGAAAAAGAGTTACAACTTTTAACATCTTGATTTTTTGTGTCACTTCTGAGCAGTTATCTTACCTGTAAGAGCAAAATCTCATCCTTTTCCTCAAATATTGACAATATGAAAATGAATTGAGCCATTATATGTACAGTGTACCTTTCAGTTTAGTTTGACACATGCTACTTGCAGTTTTTACATAATTGTCACCTATGTGATGCATAAAGACAAAGAGACCAAACTGAATCCAAAGGTATTTTTTCATGTTAACAGTAAATATCAGTGGACAGTCTGAAAACCCAAGCTGAGAATGATTTTAAACTTTGTTGTTGTACCGAGATTAAATTTGAAAACGTGCACTCACTGACAGCTGGGGTAAACGTAAAAGTCAGTGTTTTCCTTTTTTCTTTTTTTTTGCATGCTTAGAAGTTAGTTTTACATTTGTTTCAAGAACGTATGTTAGTTTGCTTTCTTCTTTTTATAAATTGAGCCATTATATGTACAGTGTACCTTTCAGTTTAGTTTGACACATGCTACTTGCAGTTTTTACATAATTGTCACCTATGTGATGCATAAAGACAAAGAGACCAAACTGAATCCAAAGGTATTTTTTCATGTTAACAGTAAATATCAGTGGACAGTCTGAAAACCCAAGCTGAGAATGATTTTAAACTTTGTTGTTGTACCGAGATTAAATTTGAAAACGTGCACTCACTGACAGCTTGGGTAAACGTAAAAGTCAGTGTTTTCCTTTTTTCTTTTTTTATTTGCATGCTTAGAAGTTAGTTTTACATTTGTTTCAAGAACGTATGTTAGTTTGCTTTCTTTGCTTTTTATAACATAAACCTGTATCTTCTTGGTTTCTTCAAACACTTGAGAAACCTTCATTAAGCTCAAATAAAGCTGAAAAGGAATCTGACACTTTTCAGACTTACAAAAACAGAACTGTAACATTTTAGGAAAAGGAGATGGGAAAAAAAGTTAAAAGATGTTTTCCCAGAATTTCTACAGGCATCTTTGTTAGTCAAATATTCATAATGACTGGAAATTACAGGGTTTTTTTGCAAAATAAATTTAGAATCTCATAAAGCAAGTGAGAACCTAATGTTAATATTTTAGTGCTAGGCATTTGCATAAGAAATAGGAGAGAAGGGCTCTGCATGCTGTTCAGTCTAAGGGTTTTTGAATCCAGTGTTCTCACCGTTCAGGTGAATGTATAGTGAGCAGGGGCATGAACTGCCTAAATCTTGAGGAGAATTTAGTTTGCTTGAAGTACAAATGGCAAAATAGATATTATATAGAGTGTACAGATTAATATATTTCTTTAAGATAATTTTATTTGTTTAGTAAATTGCTTTTTGAAATGGGAATTGTATGTCTCCGGTAAGGCAGTCTATCCTTACTGTATCATTTTAGGCTCAGATCTGTATACCTCACACGTGAAAATGGTATGTTACTTTGTACTGGCATATTTTTATTTTAAAGCTCTATTTTCCATCACTGAAGCCTTGCAGGAAGCTTACAAGGTGTAAAACCAGTTGATGATGAAGTGCAGCAGTGATGTTTAACTGTTGGAAGCTAGAAGCAGGCTAAAAAGTACAAGGTTAAAGTTTAAAGAACTCGCGGAAATAGGCATGAGGAAAGATGTAAAAACATCAGTTTATTCTTCAGGTACAATGTGTGTTGCTTTTTGCTTTTTAAACCTATATAAATAAATGATTCTTCTCTGCAATTCCAGGGCAGCTGAAATCCTCTACTCCTTGGCTTTGGTACAGTCCAGTAGATCTGAGAAGTTGAGTGTATTTCCTTCAGTGGATAACTATAAATTGCTGACAGAAGCTAGGAGGAACCTTGGACTCTTTCAGCATCATGATGCTATTACAGGAACATCTAAAGATTGGGTAGTTGTGGATTATGGCACTAGGTAATTTATTATAAATATATAAACTTAAATCTTAACTTCCCTTTGCTTTTTTAAAACAGAAGTATTTATTTCAGAGATACAGATTTGCTATAGCTAGCAACATATTCAGTACTGAAAAGTGTAGTGGTGCTCTACAAGAGAAGTGGATTTGATTACCCGTGCTCTTCATTTATGGAATATTTTTTTATCGTCTGAAGTAAGAATTTGATGTCCAAACAAAATTTCTGAGGTTTCAAAAGGAGCTAGGTAGACACGATACCAAGAGTTCTTTAATAACAGGGCTATTCTTTTCTGCAGTACTATTGTATAGGAGTACATTTTATATCTGCCTCTGCTAAGCAATAATCAAGAGACATGCTAATTTAGTCATTTATTCCTTGGAAAATCCCACACCTGCTGTAACCCACCTTTCATCAATGTGGGAAATCCTTTTCATGTTGCCAATCTTCTACTTAATCTGTCTGTTGTTGTCTATTGCTATTATATCTGGTGGGTAGTTGCTTTCTTGGTATTGACAAATTACTCTGCTAGCTACTTTGTGGAATTTTTTTGAAGAAGAGTGTATGATATATATATATATGTATGTCTGTATATGTAGATATGTGCTTTAATTATGCATTTGTTCAGAAAATTGTTACATATTGGAATGTTAAGCACTAGTAAATTTGAGGTAGATGATGGTAGATGGTTGATGGTAGAGCATGTCCATTAAATAATTTATTGTTTTAAATGCCTCTAAAATATTCTTTCTGGGTTTAAACTACTGCATTGATGACAAGTATTTTTAAATTCTATAAATTTGTTAATTTTTTATCTATTTATTATTATTTATCTATTAAAGCGTAGGTATAATCAAGGTATAAACATGTGCAATGTACTTGGTTATGAGAGAGTAAAATAAAGTTTTTCTTCACTTTACAAATAAAATTACACAGCGCTCTGTATTTAAGAATTTGTAAACCTTGTGTCAGTTGAAGCAATGGAAATAATGGTGATTGTTTTTCTAATCCTGCTTAAAGGCAATCTTGACTTTGTGACCAGTGTTTCAGGCTTGTCTCTACTATAGATACTGGAAATCAAACATATAAACCACAAACTTTCTTAAGATGAGCATTTTGAAAAAGTACTTGGTATTTTGAGGGTGTATGTTTTGTAGCGTAACAGTGGGGTGGAGATGTACCTCATTTTCAGTATGCAAGGTATAGGAATATAATGAAATTCAGAATATTTCTGCATTTTGCAGTCTGGTCACCCATTGCAACTAGCTGTTCTTAATTTCATGCTATATTGATATTAAAAATTACATTTATTTTTCTGTAACTCATATTTTTGAGTTCTTTAATCTTTTTAAATTTTGATGTTATCACATTGAATACAACCAACTGAAAACTAACTAAGACTTTAAAATTTTTAACAGGCTTTTCCATTCAATAATGAACTTGAAGAAAGTGATAATTGACTCTGCTCATATTCTTATCTTAAAGGATAATCATGCTTATAATTATGACACATCAACTCCATTCCTGAAGATGGTGAGCTATCTTTCTTGATTTTCTCCAAAAATAAAATGTGAACTATGTCTTTTCAATACAGTCTGAGTGGCCTGGGAAAAGTCAGAATGAAATTTGCTGCTAATACCCGCTCAAAAATCTGCTACTTATCACTGTTCATATTGATTGAAGATACTGGAAAGTAGAAAGCAAAAACTTCAGCCATTAATGCTGGGAAAAAACCCCACACATCTGAAGTAAATGGGCTTATTTTATTCCACTTTGTGAATCACATAGTAAAACCAGGTGTTCTAATTTTCTTGTGGGCATATATTTGTTGGTAACTTCAGTGACATGCATGTGATAAGTTATATATCATGTGATAAGTTATTCATCATTATATATAAGAATATATAATGGTATGCAGTCGTGTAGTTTGACTTCGCTTATTACTTAACAAATGTAGGAAGAGGAAAATTTCCATCCTGAACATAAGCCTAAGCTGAATTTGCAAGACCAAGTCTAGACAAGACCTTGTGCTTTTTTCCTCAGCTGAAATTATTTGAAACAGGAATCTACCGATGATAAAGTCAGCCACAGATTCCCACATAGCATTTTGAGACCCATTTTACAGTGAAGAGCACCTTGAAGAAACACACTTGCTAATATTGTTTCCTTTCAGAATTCTTAGTTTCTTCACTTTCTGAACAAAAGCTCTCTGCTGTGATAGCTAGGTAGTCTTAGGAAGTCCACCTAAGTCCATACACCTGGAATAGAGAGGAAACGAGATGCTTTAGTTTCTTTGTGCATAAACATAGCAGGATTAAGACAGTCTTTATTATATGATTACCTCACACTTCTAACATAACTAACATGACATATGTTCTGCTGGCTTAGATGTCCCAGATGTGTCATACTTTGAATTACTCTTCCAGTCACACATATTTAAAAAAAAATAAAAATTGTTAAAATAGTTCTTTATACGTTTTATGACTTTGATACTAATATATATGTGCATGCTGCATATATGTGCCTGTTGGGGTGTGCTATGTGGATGCGTGTCACAAATATGTAATTTTTCTTCTGGTTGGAAAGGCTAACAAAATGAATGTGCACCTCCATACAGTAAGAATATTTTGAAGTTGTTCATGGAATGAAGTTTTCACTTCTGCTCTGAATTGTATTGGAAGATGTTGTGATGTTACATTTTTACTAAATTTTCATTGTTCCTGTTCTTTATGAGTCTGGATTAATAACACTGGGTTGCAGAAGTACTAATTACTGTATAAACTGTGTATTGCTTAGGAGCATACAAAATCAAACCCACTATTACCATTGTGAAAGCAGAAATGAAAACAAGTTCTTATTTCAATGAATTTATCATATCTATCTAAACCAAAAAAAGGTGATTACAGATGTAGACTATGGTTTATCTGTATGATATACAGTAACTGCAGCATATCATAAACCTAATATTCCCACAGTACTTTGGTTACCGTGACAAAAGGGGTTTTATGTGGGATTTGTAGCATGCTAATGGGAGAACTTCAGGATATTTCCAAAAAACCTTTTGCAAACCTTGAGCAAGTAGAAAGTTCAAAGGCACTTGTTTTGAAATAACATCATGGTATTTTGGTGGCTGATGGAAGCTGACATCTCGAATTGCTCAGAGATGGGCATTCAGAATGAATGCCGAGACAGTTGAGAAAGATAAATGATGAAGACTTTAAGATTGAAAACGGCTGTTGTCTTTGAGGGGTGAAGAAGGAAAAAACACATGGTCAAAGGAACAGAGCAAGAGACTGTAGCAACATTCCAGTAGATAGTAGGTACAACCGGGGGAAAATTGCCCTTCTTGAAGCCAGAAGAAATGAAGTTGGAAATGAGACATGATGGAGGGACTCCAGAATGACATTGCATGCACTGTGTTTCTGCTATTTGTAATTATTAGTTACACACAAAAGCATCATGGTTTTCTCAGCTGATAACTGAATACTTTGTAAATAATGTGTAAGTTTTACAGGTGTTACATTAGTAAACAAACAAAAACTAGATAGCTTGGAAGACAATACACTGAATAATAAAAGAAACTTAGAGATCCCTGAATGATCCAACCAATAGGATGAGATCCAACCTATAAAAGTAAAGCTGTGCAACCGTTGCACCATTCCTACATATTAGTCTTATTTCTTTGAGTGCAGAAAGAAAACTTTCTTATAAGTGGCAATAGTTGGATTTGAAAAACATGATTTTGAGGATATTTTGGAATATTCTGAGAAACTGGGAGCTTTGCACTTCAGTTGCAAAGTCTATAGTTGTCCCCTTTATATGAACCAATAGGAATGTAACAGTACATCAACAGCTTGGCTGTTCTCTTACTTAAAGATCTACGCAATAGTGACAGCAATGGCTTGTCGCTACCTTTTCTCACTGGAAGTAAGCACTGGGTCATACTGTATTTAAGAAAAGAGAGAAACTAGTGAAAAACAAGAATTTATCAATATTGTGAAACAATTCTTCAAGTAGTTTATATCACATAATTTGGGGGCGTGTATGATTTTTATGTTTTTTGAAAATTTTCGTTATGTACAATGTAAGGTAACTGAGAAATGACAGAAGACTAAACTCTAAATCCTTGTGATAAATATACAGGAGTGTAGGGTTTCAGAGAGTAAATTTATAGCAAGAGAAAGTTAATAAAAATATATGATAAATATTTGCAAAATTTGAAGGAAGTTGACGATTATGATGTCTTGTATGCAAAAAAAACCATGGGGATGACAATTTGATAATGGTATCTAGTAAGAGACATTTAATGAAAGCAAAGGTTTCTCAATGAATTGGTCAAAGTGAGCCTTTTTCTTTTGTCAGTCTGAAGTACTTTATAAACTTTTGTGGTTCATTGTCCTGTGTAATGTGCTAAAACAGGCTTCTGTTTATGGTATGGCTAGCATGGTTTTGTACTTCATAAAGTCCATGTAATAGACAAAGCTGATATATGTTTAAGTGTATTCAAAAGCAAATTCAAAGATGTTGTCTTGTAGGATGATGTTCAGTCTTCCCAAGATTCTTTGCCACGCAAGACGGTTATAAAGCTGACGTTGCAACCAAGGTAAATAATTTACGTATTGCTTGGTGTCTAAGATTCTTTTAGCAATGTGTGCTTTTTCACTACCTAGTAGTTTTCTATGCTATTTATTTTTTTTTTTTTTTTACTTTCAGTCAAAATAAAGGTATAATTTAGAAAAAAAAAATAAAAAAAGGTAAAAAGGTAGTCTGGCATATTATGCAAATACTATTATGTCTAGTTGAAAGAGGACACAGCACTTTAAAACTATAGAAGTTTCTCACATACAACTAATTCAGCTGCAGCAAGTAAAGTAGTCTGTTTACTATGTGCTCTTACAGCATTGTAATCCTTAATAAATTATGCTTGAGAGCAGCCGTAGAAAATTCTAATTAAACATAATTACAGCTGGTGCAATTAACATTGTGAGCAAAACCTTAGTTTTTATAAGGCCTAAAAATCACAATATATAAATGCTGCATTTTATTTAAAATTCAAGTAGAAGACAAACTAGGACACTGTTTTCTCTTAATTCCAACTTTCCATTGTATAAGGAGGGCTTACTTCTTTATTTATATGTAGTTCTAGAGTATTCAGTTGAAACTGACATCCTGCTATCCCCATGAACATTCAGTATCCAACCTGAAATAACTTAAACGTTCATTAAAAGTCAACTAATCGAAATAAAGTGAATGACGTGTGGATATGAGAGCTGCTATGTGTGTAAATCAAGTAATACAAGGTTTTCGCTTACAGAACAGAAGATTTAAGATTCATTTAAAAAGTAGTGAATGCTATTTTTGCTGACATTAGTATTTAATTTCTCTAGTTCTAGCAAGTGGCAAGCTAATAAAACTTATCTAATTCACGAAGGTGTCAGACTATTCAGCAGACTAACTGCTACTGTTAAAAAGTTCTAATCAGATTCTTTGAAAAAATGAGCAAAATTTGGTCCTTGTGAGCTTTTGGGGGAAGCTGTCTTCAGTACTCTAAAGTTAAATGTATATATGTGTGTATATGTAGTTTTAATATAAGCTTGTCTCTAGAGCAGTCATGTAGACATACATACTATTTTTTTTTAAAATAGGAGTTTTATTCTCTTATTGGAGTGCTACATAGGTGCTAATAGATTATCTTAAATTTGTCGAAAATGGTCAAAAACTGAGGTGCCTAGCTATTTATTTAACTAAAATCTTTTAACTTTTTCAAAATATCCCCTCAGATATCTTCACTGGGAGAGGATTGTATATATTGTATATAAACACTTGGCTGGAGGCAAGTTATAATGCAGACTTTCTTTGCCAGTTGAGGATAGCTTTAATGCTTTTGCTTTCCTTGCTTCGGTTAGCTGTTGAAATTTCCCCCTTGCCCTTTCCATCCCCTGATATGCCTTTTGCTTGCATCCACTGTTCCACTTATCTCTCTGCATAGTATGCTAAGTAAATTTTTCCCTTTTTGGTGTTTATGCATTTCAGGCAGTTGCTTTTTTTTTTTTCTCTTAGTTGTACATTAAGTAGATATACATGTCAAGCTTTTTTATTTTAAAATTAATATTATCCTAGCAGCCTTTTGCTGCTGTTTTCTAAACTTGTCTTAACTTACTAAGATAACATTGGTAGATAATTGCCAATTTTAACTTGTCTGGTATTGTGAAGATACCATACAGTCATATAGGATGCAGTTCACGTTCCCAAGACTATGTAATCAGAATTATGGGAGATAGTATAAAGAGGGAAAAAATGTGAGGGGGAAGGGGAGGAGAAAAATTACAAAGCAGTATTGATATTGCTACCTGAAAACCTGTTTTTTTGTAATGACTTCCTGTTTGGAAACACTTTCAAAGCAGTACGTAAGTGCACACTACTTCATGTTTCCTTTGTTGTTAAAATTTTCATTTTAATATCTGTATGTTCAATTATTTTCTCTTACAAAAATGAGCTTAGTCTTTCTAGGCTTCTAACTTTATCTCTGGTTATAGTCTGAATCTCCACTAACATTATTACCATTGTGAAAAGTGGTATGTAAACTGAGACACTAACTTTTGCTTAAATCTAGTATGTGAATATTATGACTGCATCTGAGTTTTCTAGGTAATCAGTGAAGATGTAAAATGTTAATATCAGTAGAATCTTAAATTCAACTTGATTTATCATTAAGTACTGTTGTGCTTAAACTTCAGAGTTTGAAGCTTCTAAGAAACTGATTTTTCATTTCAAATTTTGAGGCATCAGCAGATTGAAAATACTGGTTGTCATCAAAACTTTATTATTTGGTTATCTTCTATTCATAACAGTCTTTATTGTTCATGTCTGTAGCATGAAATCTCTAGATTTCTTTCTGTTATTGTGTTCTAGTATACCAAAATGTGGGATAGAAATTAAGTCAATGTAACTGGCAAGGTGTTACTTTTGTTCAATTGGCTGAATATTTAGCTTTTTGTAGTTCCGCATTTCTGTGTCAAGATTTTTAAAAATAGCAGTTTTGTAAATTGATTATTCTTACAAAAGTTTTGTTCATATCACCTATAAATTTAGAGGAACGCTACTGATGGGAAGCTCATAAGATAATGTTTTTTTCATCTGATTAATTACTCAATAATTTTCCTATTTTTTTGTTATTTTACTGAGTCAATACTGTGAATTTGAAATCTAACCTACTTTTCAACAGGAAAGTAGTTGGTAGTATGCTTTTGCCTCTCTCATCCAGCCTTCCTTTTTGATGTTTTTTAGTAAAACATCTTAGTGTTCTCTTCACTGCTTGTGAAAGTTGTAGTCAGTAGTGAAAACTGATCAGACTGTACAGGAGAGCTAGTACAACTTGATTGCATGGAAAAAAAAGAAAAGAGGGGGGGAAAAAAAAAAATCTGTCTTTCAGTAGTCATTGTACCAGTACGAAGTAGCTCCACATCGTTGTGTAGTTGAGAGGTATCTTTCAAACTGTTTCTAAGTAGGTACCACTTTTAATATTTTTGGTATCTTTTGCCCCCCCACCTATGCATCTCTTCTCTGTAGTGCTCTGTTGCCATCTTTTTATGAATCCGTAGTTTTATAAAAAAAATTAATGTGTTAATTTCAATGAAATAGGTATGTAGAGTACTTTAAATCTTACTGTGACTCTGCCACCTTAGAACAACTCAGTGGTCTTATGATTGGGCTTTTGAGTACTGAATTTATGTTGTGTTTAATTACACTAAACCCCGTTTAACTGACAAATTAAGCTGCATGCTTTTTTAAGAAATTGTTACTTCCAGCTGAAAAACAAAGCTTTCACAAGATAATATCCAACTAGATATGGAACTACTTTTGTCTTGTTCTGAAATTAACAATTATTACCATGTGACGTGGAGACAAAGCTGATATGAGTGTGCTGATAAACTGGATACTGTATCATATTTCTGTGAGAGCCCTGTCCTGTGATACAATCATTGCTTCTTGGGAATAGTCTGCCAGAGGTCATACTTCCCAAATGGCAAATGACTTGCATTCACTGGACGTTGGGGGGGGGAGTGGATTTGAACCTCTTGCCATCCAGTTTAAGCTGACGGCTGTTGATGAAGGGTATGTTGACAGTGTGAGTGGCAAGATTTCCTAGCTATTTCTATCTATAGTGTTTCCTGGAGACGGCATTGCAGGGGAATGTAATACATGACCAAATAACTGAATTGGCTGTCTGTACCAACTTGGACTTTGTAGTAGTACTGTTTGACACAACATGGCGAACCTAGGAGTAAATGAGACCTAACAATATCAATCATGCTTTTTTTTCCCTTTACTGAGCTCCATTGCACACTACAAGCATGGTGTAAGGCATCCCATCTGAACTGAAGATACTATGATACTGAAAGATTTTTAAAAATCATTGATTTAGGATTATTTTCAGTGTTAAACCAACAATACTTATAACTTGCCCACAAATTATTTTTGTCAGCTAATTGTAGAGGAATGGTATGATAGCCTTCTTGTCAGGCTAGTTTAATAGCTTAGCAGACACATTTTCCACTAGCTGAAATATTCAGGTTGCCCAGAGGATTAATTCTGAGTAGGATACACTGTAATCAAGGATTACTTCAAAGATCTGTCAAAGCACCAAGCAGTTTAATGACATCCACCTTATAAAAGAAAGATTCATTTTTCCCAATAGAGGATACAAAATAATCTGGAATATTGTCCTTACTTCAATATCTATGAGTAGGTTTTGGCATAAGGTTGTAATTAACAAAGTTTTGACATAAGTTGTGTTCATCCTGTTAGGTCCAAAATTTGTGATCTTTTTTGAGAAAGAAAATTCTGATTTACCTTTAAGATTTTGCAAGTTGGTTACCTTTTCAGAAATTCACTTGGCAGGTGTACCCACTGCTTTCTCAACACAGCTTTCATTTCTACATTATAGTGCTATGTCATTAAGTTTAATGTGTGATAAAAAATAATGTACAAAGGTCAAAAATTCTTGGCAGAGTAGTGTGTGTGTTACTGTATTTGGCTGGAAGGTGACAGCAAGGATAACTTACCTGAGAAGGAAACTTTGTTGGTGTGATATACCAAAAGGCAAAGCTGTCCTGATGATGTGAAGCAATTGATTAAAACTTCATACCAAAGAAACTGTATCTTTCTGAGCTTAGAAGGTGACTGGATTGGTAATGTTTTAATGTTCTCATTTGGCAACTTTAACTTTGGTGGTAGGTTTTGGGGATTTTTTTTGACCTGTGTTGCCCATGTTGGTACGATCAATCTAAACAGTTGTCCAATGTAGTTATAAGGCGAGGATGCTCCGACAGTATTTGACATTTTAATAATATACATTTCAATTACCTTTTATGCTTGCATGAATTCTAAGGCATATGTATTTCTAGTTATATACTGAAACAGTTTAAAAAAAAAGACAGTTGAAAGACAGGTATTTTCAATTGTCAATGGGGGGAAAAATGTTTAGAGAAAACAAGAAAGAATACAGTAACATTTAAAATTAGGCTAAAAATATCTGTGGCAGTTCATACATTGTTAATATGCACACTTGTTCCCTGGGGAGGGGGGGAAACAAAACCAAAA